AAAAAAAGAAAAAACAAATATATTTCGTACTCTATCTACCAAAAACCTAAACCAACGAAATATTTAAAAAGAAAAGTAAAAAGAAAAAGAAAAAAAAGAAAAAGAAAAGAAAGATAATATAAAACGGTTATAAAGCAAATAAAAAAGGGTAAAATGAAGAGTAATACGAAGATTCTACACAATTTATATGTAGATCGAGTAGAACACGAGAATAGAAATTCGTGCAATAAGGGCCCACTACCACAATCACCACCACCTTCTTTATCTCTCTCTCTCTCTTTCTCTTTCTCTCTCTCTCTTTCTCTTTCTGAGCAAAGGGTGAGTGAGAGATATCTACATAAAGATATGTGAACCATTTGAATTAGTCGTCTATTCGGAAGCAACCACCCACGGGACCAATTTTTCGATTGTATTCAGATTACTTTGATAAAAAAAAAAAAAAGAAAAAGAAAGAAAAATATATATATATATATATATATATAATAGAATGAAAAGAGAAACGAAACGAGACGAGATGAGACGAGACGAGACGAACCCAGCCCTTTGATTCGACCAACGAAGCGCGTCCACCACCACCACCACCACCAACATCACCACCATCATCAGTGTAATACACCATATAGCAATGTACATAGAAAAACGAGTCCTAGAATGAATCCTAGATGAAAGAGTTCGTCGTGATAATAATACAAAGCCAGCTGCGCACAACCTTTGCCAACGAATTATTTCTTTTTTCTTTTTTTCTTTTTTCTTTTTCTATTTCTTTTTCTTCTTTTTTTCTTCTTCTTTTATTTATTTCCTTTTTTTATTCTTTCTATCTCTTTCGTCTCGACGATCAAAGATCGCCAAGGTGTTTTTTCTTCGTTTCTTCCACTTTTTCCAACCCCCTTTTTATCTCCTCTCCTTCTTCTTCTTCTTCTTCTTCCTTCTTCGTCTTCTTCTTCTTCTTTCTCTTTTCCTCTTTCAGTTACTTACTTTGTTTGTTTTTTATCTTATTCTTTTTCTCTTTGTTTATGTTCTTTTAATAATTACGAAGAAGAATATTACTTTATCGTAAATTGGACGTGTCGAAATGTACGTTAATCCAAAAGGACTTGTTTTTTTTTTTCTTCTTCTTCTTCTTATTACCCGATCTGAGATCTTTCTTCCATCTTAATGTAAAGAAAGAAAGAAAGAAAGAAAATAGAAACCAAGACGAAAAAAGAAATAGTAGTAATAGTAATAGTAGTAGTAGTAGTAGAAAGAAGGAATAGAAAGAGAGAGAGAGAGAGAGAGAGAGAGAGAGAGTAAAAAAAGTAGAAACAAAAAAATAATAGTATTATATCCGATGCCAAAGAAGGCAGCAGGCAGGCCATAATCGATTTCCACATTTACGTGTGTTTTACGTGTTTCACGAAGAGGACTAGTATTCGAAGTAAGAAAAAAAAGAATAAGAAAAAGTATAAGTATAAGAAAGAATAATAAAAAACCAATGAAGAGGAGCCGAAAGGTAACAAAAAAAAAAAAAACTAAGGAAAAAAGAACACATAAAAACACAGAGACAGAGAGAGAGAGAGAGAGAGAGAGAGAGA